AGACAATAAAAATAATAAGACTGGGAGGTGGGATGTCCATTAATGTGTATTAACATGCCTTACAATTCTGTGGGTCCCACACTACCACCACTACAGGGTAATTAAAGGATTTGGTTCTATACAATGTATAACAATGTAAGAATAAGCTCTTCTTTTTTTGCAATCAACCAACTACGACCACTTTCTCTGTACTGATTATAAGGTGCTATTTTATATAAGTAATGTACACATTCTCAACTTAACTCAACCACTCACAGTGCAATAGGAAATATTCTTTCATGCTGCACAACTGCTTCCACAATGCTGTTTAGACACCACTCCACAGCCTGTAATGTTGGAACATGATCACCTAGGTGGGTGAAAGGGTATGGCTTCAAAACTCCAAGTTCACTCATCATCTTTATGGTTGGCCATTGAGAAGACAGAGATGACAGGTTCTCACTCACATTAACGAGCTGACAGCAACACAGCGGATGAGAGGGGATAGAGGGATGAAAGAAAGAGAGCAATAAAACGGAGACGAAAAGCCCAAGGCCAACAAATGTACTCAGATCTTCTCAATCAAAAGATGATGCTTCAGGAGGTTGCAAGCTAAAGGTAGAAGAAGGGCTGTGTGTTTTGTACGGTATTTCTCATTTAAAATACGACTAATTACATAATATGAGCCCTACCTGAATAAATAATATTTGTTTTAACATCACAACACATTTTTTTTCACCTAGAGCTAATATATGACTTCAATCCCAGTCTTGCTATCCATTCATTTTTAAATATTTGGAGCTTAGTTTTTGTTTTTTTCTTATTCTTCTGTGCAGATTTAACAATCCAGTATATAATGAGGTGTCAGTGTACCTGTGTCTGGATATTAATGCACTACTCCAAACATTTGTGGCCATTTTACCTTTCCATACCACTAACCATGATGAGCTTGTACCTCTTGTACAAGCTAAAGCAAGCTGTTCCTCTGGTGAGTTTTAGTGATGAATACTAATAAGGAGGTTGCTGAAGTGGAACTTTTCTGCTTCAGATTTGGCAAGTTTCTGGTGAGTGGAAATAACCGCCTTACTTTAAGAACTGCTGAGAAGCTGTATGAAGAGAGTGAAAAGAAAATGAGGATAGAGAGGATGGATGTTTGTATTTGTGTGTTTTGTGATAATTCTGGTGATGAGTCAACACAGAAGCAGCAGCAGGATGAGACCAAATGGTTGTGCTGCTAGATAGAAGAAGCTCCTCAAGAAGATTCATTCCCTCCCCACTTATGTTATTAGTCAGTCTGTGAGAACTTCAAAATGTGATCATATCTGTGGGGGTTTTTTTTGTTATGTGGTTACTGCTAGATCTCCTACTGGCATGTGCCCTGTGTTTAAGGATTCGAAGCTCTAAGCTAGGGGTGTCGAACTTCAGGCCTCGAGTGCTGGTGTCCTGCAGGTTTTAGATCTCACCCTGGGACAACACACCTGAATCAAATGGTATAAATAGTTCATTACCAGGCCTCTGGAGAACTTCAAAACATGTTGAGGAGGTCATTTAGCCATTTAAATCAGCTGTGTTGGATCAAGCATGGAAGCATGGAGTTCGACACCTGTGCTCTAAGCTGTACCTGCAGTTTAACTGTACAAGTGTGTGTAACAGAGGGTAACAAGTACATGTCTGACCAAACCTGACCACTGCAAACAGCCTGACTAGCTGGTTGCAGTGGGTTCTCTAGCTGTATAGTTTGAAAACTGGCTGATTCTACTGACTGCAAGACAGGCACACGGATACTTATTCAGACACACATAAGCATTAAAATGCTTTTCTTAGTGAGGAAGGGAGCTTTAGGGGGGGTTTTCACAGGAGGAGGTGATCTGTCAGGAATTTCAAGCCCTTGAAGTGTCAGAAATGGAAAGTCTGTGTATATCGATACTGCAAGTGCCCGGACGACCTACAGGAGATGAATATCTATATGCTGCATTAACATCAAATGGAAGACTTTGGATGAGAAGTTTCTGCCTCAAAATACCATTTATTTCACCTGTCAGACTGCAAATGATGTTTCATGTCTGCAGCAACCTGAATTCTGGCATCACCACCAACCACCCAAAGTCAAGTCTTGCTTTTAAAACACTGGTCTTCTAGGTCTGAGAACTGAACCAATATAGACTTGCCGACAGCTCCTTTGGAAGATATAGTAAAAGTTATTTCCCCATTGATCTGTGACGTGGGAATTCTGTCATTATGGTTTAGGTTTTAGTTTTACTATCATTGGTCTTATAAAAAAAAGAAAGAAAGAAAGAAAACAAAACATAATACTGATCTTGTGAATGGATTCATTCATTCAGAAAACAGATGATCAAATTGTTGCTTTTAGGATTTGGCTACATTGTGACATTTGAAAGTCGCTACCATGAGAGGACACAGTATACTTTGGTTTATTCTTTGGTTACACTTATGCCCCAGTCATCACATCCAGTTTTAAAATGCCACAAAGCATCTATTGTGAACAAAACCAAAATGAAAAATGATTAAAAATAGATCCTACTGTGTTTTCCATGTTTCAGAACCATAATATATAACAAAAATAATTAGTTTTTCAAAAAAAGCAGGAATTGTATATTAGAAGAACAGAAAACAATGAATTGTAATAACATAAATAATAACATAAAATAACATCCATCCATCCATCTTCATCCGCTTTATCCGAGGCTGGGTCGCGGGAGCAGCAGCCTAAGCAGAGAGGCCCAGACCTCCCTCTCCCCAGCCACCTCCTCCAGCTTATCCGGGGGAACACCAAGGCGTTCCCAGGCCAGGCGAGAGATATAATCTCTCCAGCGTGTCCTGGGTCTGCCCCGGGGCCTCCTCCCGGTGGGACATGCCCGGAACACCTCACCCAGGTGTTTTTAATAACATAAAAAAGCTGACCAGGGCCTTCTGTGATCTATTTTTAATTTGATTGTGTGCCAAATATTTTCAGTGGCTGACTGGTCTAGACTGCAGCAGCCAGTTTATTTTTTTTACCAAAGAGACATGCTGTTGTAAAAGGTTCAGTCCTGCTATAATAGGCAAGGCCTTTGCTCAAACTTGGCCTTCCAGTCATTTGGATGGTACCACATACTGATCCAAAATGTATTTATATTTCCATATCTTAGCAACAACTTTCTCAGTCTTTTGTTTTAGAATGTGGATCACATATAAAATTAGGACGTACATAGTTATCACAAAACATTATATTTTATTTTATTTTTTTAGAAACACAGTTGCATATCAAAATATGATGTCAGCTATATCTTGTATAAGCATGAAAATGGTGGCAATCATATCTTACATTAGATTATATTTTGGAATCAGTGCACAGCCAGACCTCATCAAACATTTCATTTAAACCAATCAGACCGAATCAAAGGCAAGGAACAGGGTTACCTACTCTTATTAAGTTTTAGTGGATAAAAAATGCCATGGGGTTAAAGACACTGGGAATTGGGTCAGTGTTAAATTGAAAAGTCACACAACACACAATGAAAGACTGGGGAATTTATATGGCAAGTAGCAGGACCTTGAGTCAGATTTTTCCTTTTAAAAGAATCAGCATTACAAACATTTGAGACGAAGTAGCTAAAAAAATTATTTTAATGTAACCCTTTAAAGCAGTTTTGCGTAACTATATTTAAATCCCTGTAGAACCGGAACCACGTAAGCTAGCGCAATAATTTACTTTTTGCATATGAAACCGGAGGAGTTGTACTTACATCTTATGCTATCAGCTTGTCCTTGGTCACGGTTTCCTTCCACACATAGCTTTGCAAATACTGCATAAAAAGCGCTTGCAGGAACAAAAACATAATATTCCAGAAACACGCTTTGCTGATCCGATCAGCTGTTTGTAACACTTCCCACATTGAAACAGACATCAGTGCAAACGATGGCATGTCCGCCATTACCTGCCTGAAACTGGAAGTGACGTCATTTTCGCGGAAAATGTAGTTTTTTACTTGTAGGCCTTAAAAGCCAATGCTGGTGTTTTTATAAGTCATGTTTGACTTTATGCTTTTCTGAATAGTTGCTGGGATGCTTAGAACTCCAATTGCACTGCTTAAAATAGTTTATTTTGATGCACATGCTGTTTTCTTTGCAAATTTGCATCATAGGATTGTTTTTCATTTTTTCCTGCAGTATACAAAAATTGGTGTATCTCAAAAATAAAACTATGAAGACACTCAAAATAAATTTCCTGCTGTTGTAAGCAATTTTTTGCAACTTTTTTGCATTTAAAGTTTTGAGGGATAAACCTCTTAAATTTCTCCAAGTAGAAATATACGTAAAAAAAACAAAAGCGATTTTCAATTATTTTGTAGTTTATTGCACTTTTTTTGCAATTCATCTCGTTACTGTGGACTTAATGCATACATGTTATTATAATATGGGCTATAACAGTTGTATTGATGTATAGCAACTTGAAATGCTCCCTAAAATGGAACTATAGCATGTAAAAATATAAAGTAAGCTCTGGCGGCCTTGGTTTTATGGTAGGTCTTAAAGGGTTAATAATATTGTTTTTTCTTTTTTAGATATTACATTGACGTTGACCTCCCTACACTGGTCAACCACAGAAAGATAAATATGACATCCAGACCAGAAAATAAATTCAAAAAGCATATTTATCTTTATGTATTAACTTATTGCTTTATGGGTATAGTTTCCCACAGCTTTTCATTCATGACCTTTTTAGTGAGTCCCCTGAAACATGCTATATAGACTACATGTCCTTTGAGTTCTGTATTCTGTAGGACATTCACTAATTCAATAAGAGCTTGGAAAGATGATATAGTCAAGACAAAAGCCCAAAAAGCCCGGCTCTCAGCCTCAGTGAAACACGCCAATGGAAACAGATAGCATTCGGTTTGCAAAACAGAAAGCAGTGGAATGTATTTAGGAATTCAAGTACAAACAATGCCTTAGAGAAATGATCCGGTTTGGAGGTTGTTTAAAGAGAAAATCTTGTATGTCTTTGATGTATGTCTTACCCACAGTTAGCTGACCAGTCAGTTGTCCCTGTTCATTCCGAGCATTGACAGTCACATTTCTGTCTGACTGGAGGATCAGTGGACTGTCCTATAAAGAAGAGGAGAGAGAGATGACTAAAAGAACATCAAAATGTAGATTTCTTGGACTCTCACAAACATAACCACGAATACCAAAATAGCTTCATAGTTTTCATTTACACCTATTTACTTTACTTTCTGTCTGTGCCTTGTAGGCTCTTGCTTCACTGGACACCTTTCAACCAACCAGCCAGTACTGTCATAACTTGTATCAACTGCCACAGTTCACTCTTGACTCCCTCTCCTCTCTGCCAGCACCGGATCCTTTGCACTCAATTTACATAATCCATTCAAAATGTCATCCATCTGTGATTGTGTTTGCTTGTGTTGAATTGTGTGTATGTCTGCGAAAAGCCAATTATTCTCAACCTAAATGATATAAATACAGCTGTAACCCTGACCTCTGCTTTCCTCTTTTAAAGTCTGACTGGGACAACTTTGGTTTACATTGAGTGGATATGTGTTGCAATGAATGCAAACCTGATGTCTGCCATTTTCATTGGCTTACAAAAACAATCTAACATTGCTCTCTCTCTGGATCCTTCTCTCAGAGCTACCTCGGCTGTCGCTCCCAGCCCTTCCCAGTCTGCTGACTCTTCCCACTTATATACTTAACCAAGTTTCCACCTCTTTCATTACATCTCTGCACTTGCATCATTTTCTTTTTTTATTCTCTTCCTCTGCCCTGCGTCTCTCACTCTTACCCTTTAAATTGCTTATTTGTTTTGGCTGCTTGAAATGAATAGCTCACAGGTGACCCAATTTCTCTGTTGATTTCCCCAAATTAATATCTTGCTGCATTCTGGTCTGAATTCCAAATGAGTATTGTGTTAAAATTGGAAAGTCGTTGATCCGTTGAAATGGGG